AAGGTCCTTCTTCTAAAAGATGTGTTTCCCTTCAGAGCTGACCGCCCTGTGGCTCCGAGGGAGTCTGGTGTGTTTGAGGGAGGTTCTGGAAAGAGTGGGCGAGTGACAGAATGGAGAGAGGGGGTAGAGAAAGCCGTGTGTATCCTCACCACTTCCTGAAGAGTCCTGGCACTGAGAGGCAGGGGGGGCTTACTTCGCTAATGATGGGCCAACCTTCCGGAGGTAGAGAGAGAAATCTGGCGGCGTAGTCGACATGACTGTCTAAATAAACATGTGCGGACGCCGGGGTCTGCTGGGCGTGCTCGGCAGGAAGGAATTCAGCTTGGAAACCGCTCTGTCACGAGACACTGCTGGCTCGAGGCAGCTTGTCACGGGTTTTTAATGTATAAAACCCTTTCACTTACAATGCCCTTAAAAACACAAGTGTGGGGTATTTTTATAGTCCCAGAGCCGTCCTCACCAGACAGGCAGAGGCTCCTGAGGTGCTGGGGGAAGCTGGAGAGGGAGGCCTATGAGCGATGGCCCGGCAGCAGCCCCCTTTGCTTTGTGTTGTGCTCGCTAAACCCTGGCAGATGATTTTTTAGTTATTTTCGTGACGTCTCACGTGGATTTAGTTCAGTTTTGAGGTTAAAACAGTCACACAGCTTGAGATGTGCAACAATGCGGTGATATTTTGCAGCTGCTGTGGGCATTTCCTCTCTCCGCCTCTTTCTTCAGGCTCCCTGGAGATCAGCTCCTCCGATGCCAGGCCTTGTTGACTCATGTTGTGGACCAGGAGGGAAGACGTTGCCGGGGACCTGGGCGAAGAGGCACATGTGAGGGTCGCTGGGCCGCCAGGCTCTGAGCTTGCTGAGCACCGTGCAGCCGGAGCTGCGGTCTTTCTCCAGCAGCGGAGTGCTGAGCCCAGGCTGAGGGAAGGACAGGCAGCAGAATGTGTCGTCGGGACGGCATTGGCCCCGAGTCTACCTCAGAGGCTCCGAGCAGGGGTCCACGTGTCCTCGTCCCTTCACTCAGCAAGGCCTCGCTGAAGGCCAGGCGCGGGGCCCAACAGTAACTGCAGAGATGGGCCCGGCTTCCCGGAGCCGGTGGGACCGTGGGGCGTGTGACGGCTGCCACCATGTGCTGGCACTGCAGCCGGCCTGGCCCTGTCCTTGCCCTCGATGCACATAATTCTCACCACTTCTCCGTAGGAGAGATGAAGGATCGAGGCACCAGGAAGTCAAGCCAGCTGCTCAAGGTCACCGGAGGTAAAAGGGTGGATCCAGGTTCCAGTCTCACATCTCCGTCCTGCGTGGCTTGGTCTGGGTGAAGGGACCGAGCGAAGCACAGATGTCCAAGGGCTGGAAGAGGGAAAAGAACAGGGAAACGTGGTGAGGAGAGCAGGCCTGGAACTCAGGGAGGAGGGAGGGGTAGGGGGGGCGGGAGGGGGTTCGTCGCCCAAGTGCCATCAGAAGCTGAGACGCTGGTGGCCGGTGACCACTCGGCATGCATGCCGCAGGGCGAGGAGCGGGGCAGGAGGCGGATACCACAGAGCAGTGACGGTGGGCACGGTGGTCAAGGGGAGAGATGGGCCGAGGAGGTTTACCTGTGTGTGGTGTAAGGTTGGTAGCTCAATTGATGGACACCCCAGCTTGCTCCTAACACCTCTAAACAGTGCCAGGGAGCCCCACCATCTTGCAGAGGGGCTTCCCTTAAGTTCATGATCTCTGAGAAGGGCCCAATGAGAGGTGATGTGGGTGGAAGGAGGGGCCCCTCTCTCCGGTGGGAGACACTAGAGCACATGTGTACCTGCTGGGAACGACCGGGAGGGAGGGAGAGACGGGTAATGGGGGACAGGGGGGTAGGGGAGGGACAAAGTCCTTGGGAGGGAGGATGGACAGGGTCCCAGCACGCAGGGAGGGGAGCAGGCACTGGCCCAACCCTGCGGGGAAGAAGACGCCCTGGAGACCTGGTGATGGGGGAAGAGGACTCCACCTCCTCAGGGAAGGATGGGCCAGGCACACTGCCTCGGTGCGTGTGTGACGGCGGAGCGGGGGCTGGAATAACTGTCTTAGAGAAAAGGAGCCGAACTCTGCACTGTCCGGAGTCACGGGCAGGTAAGCTCGAGGTTCAAACTCACCGGCTTCTTAGCACCCAACTGTGGGCCTGAAAGTCCTTTTTCCACTAAAAAAATCAGGACTTTGTGGAGAAAGATTCATTTCCGGCCGAGGAGCAGGAAATGTGCAAGAGGAGCCTGCCGCTGCCACACCAGAAGGCAAGGAGCCGGTCAAAGACCAGGGGGTGGCGTTGAGAGGGAACACTGAGCATAGCAAGGCTAAAGCCGCCCTGGACGGGGACACAGCAAATGTGCTTCCACTCGAATAGGAGCTCATAGTGCGAGTTAAACGACTAAGAAAATTGGTCACCGTTGGAGGGTACAGTGAACCAATTCACTGAGTTCGAAACAGCTCATTATTTGAACACGAGTAAATAAAGGGAAAGAACCCTGTTCCACAAGCTTTGTTTGTGTTACTCTTAGTAGGTGGGGATTCTCTGTTAATAGAATTTGAGTCCCCAGTGAAGGGGAACGATGGAATAGGACGGAGCTGTTTGGAGGATTACGGGTTGCACAGATGACCAGTGGCTGCTACATGACAAGGAGGGACGTCAGAGGTACAGACACCTCAGGGACACACTCAGCAAATCCAGGGGCGGAGGAGTGCTGGGCACGCAACCTAGTTTTTCAACAAGCAGATGGCGAGGGGAAAACAGAAATGGAGGGAAACCGTCTATTAAAAGGGGTTTACGTGTGTGAATCACAAACTGTGGGAAGCAGCTTAGGACATTTAGGAGACAATTGGAAATGTGAACACTCACTGAATATCTGCTACTATTAAATAATTATTGTTTAGATACTGTTAAATAATTAATAATGACACCAGTGTGTGGGGTTACGCGGTCGCTTTACTTAGCTTCTAGGTCACGCTGGGTCGGGCCAGCACTCAGGGGGACCAGCTCAGTTAGGTGCTGGTGTCTGTGTAGTGAGCACCAATGCTTTCTGTAGCCTCTGCCCTGAAGTGTGTGTGTGTTGGGGGGACATAGTCAACAGAGTGGGGGTAGGGTTGGCAAGTGGCACCTCACAGTTGAGCCTGCTCCTTACTTCCCGAGCTTTCGGTCCTGAACTCCTCTGACCCCACCTCCAATCCTCGCACCCACCCTGTGAGAGCGGGGGTGAGGGTGGGCAGGTGCTGCGAGGTGAGGAAAGCAGGCGGGATGGGCGGGTCAAGGTGACCTATTGGCAGGTCTAGAGACAGGGCCTCAGTCTCTCCAGGACAGCACCCCTGACCTCCACGGAAGCCAGTAAAAGGCGACTTACCCAGCACTGTCCGCTCCCCGGGCGTCCTCGCTCCGCCTTAGAGGTGGGTATTATAAACCCGCTTCCCCGCAGGGCAACCGAGGCAGAGCAAATGCCAGGGCCGCG